TAAACGCACACATTTGTCCCACAGATCTTTTGAAAAGACAGATTATACAGTAATTCTGTTCCAGCAACAGTGATTTCTATTACAATCCCCTTATAGGATTCTTCTGTTGGAGCTTCTGATTTACTGGAACGTGGAAAACCCTATAAAATGCTACTTATTCCAACGGGGGATTTAAATAGGCTCACACATTTTTCACTAATGAATATTTTCTCATGGCATAAAATAAATGTAGTGAAGCTTGAATAAATTAACTCAAGCCAAATCAACCAGCCGAGTCACAAAGTTGCATTGAGCATGAAATACTGTAATTACTTGCAACTACTCGTGTCTGTGCTTGTCTTTGTTCCCCAGACTGGATCCCATCACATATGCCTCACAAAGATTGTAAAGTTCCTCTGTGGATCTGTCCAGAAGCCGTACGCTCTTTCACAGCACAACTCATGCAACTACAAGTCCCACAAGTCCACAGTGCAATTACCACCATCAGCGCTCTGACAACCAGCGCACCCAGAGCCAATATCCCCAGACGGCGGCAAACTAATCAGATGAGGCTGTTTGCTTTGCATCTGACCCTTGGCTTCTAATACAGCACTTTGACTGATTATATCGGTCTAGACAGATACAAATTTCCAAACCGAGGCAAGTTTGAAATGAAAGACTATCCACCAGACTTATCAGATATATAGCACATGTTGAATTCTCTTTGGGGAGTGTGAAGAAATGCCAAAGGTATAATATACACTGTAGGAGGATTTTCCCGATACATAGGAAAGAGCCAGTGGTCTTTTTGAACAAAACTCTCTGGTTTAATTTGACGAGCGTGGATCAACTGAATGATATAAAATTGGCAGGACCAATATTCTTGATGATCCACCCGGAATACTCCTATATACAGTGTTTAAATAATATAACACTGACAAAAGGGCTTTAAAGAGGAAATATTACACATTTTTGATCAGTAGGAATAATGACTTTTCCAAACTTCAATTTTTTTTTACTGTCATTAATGTGAATTAAAATGTGAAATTATGTATCAAGTAAAGCATATATGGTGAAGCAAATATGAAAGCTAAATAATGCTATTTGCCTGCTCTACCACTATGCTGCCACCAGAATTTGAGCCTTACAAACTTCAAACACATTTAAGGGAATGCAAAGAACAGAATTTCACTTGAGAAAATGCAAAAACTAATTAATGGGCAATATTAATGGGCTTTTTTTATAAAAGGCAGAAAATGTGATGTCATAGTAGTCCGATGACATCATACCATTACAAGACTGAGAGAGGAGGTTTAAGACAGGAGGGGCAGAGTTACATTTGTGCCAGAATTTTTGTATATCAACGTGGATGGATCTGTTTTAGAGAAAATAATGTCAAAACATTCAGCTAAAAGTTGATGTTGTTTGAATAGAGCATGCAGGTAAACTCAAATTCCAACTTAATAGCCTAAGAAGTTACCTGGAAATATTGCAATACACTAAAAATGTAAAATTGACCATAAGTGTTCCTCTCCAAAGTTATAAACAAAATGAAATGAATTGTTCCTAAGCCCAACAGTAACCACACTTGATTGTGAAATAAAACTGAAATAAAACATGAATTTGTGAGCAGATTCACAAAGGCAAAGAGACTGCAGTGTTGGGAGGAAGTACATGAAACACATGGTGAAAGATGGAGGAGCTGTCCACTGACCCGTGGTGCTGATGTCAGTGTGGGACTCCACAAGATACAGTGCTGCAATTTTAATCACACCTTATCTCTTCATTATGGGAGATCCAGGCGCACCCCAGGCCATAGAGCAGCTCCTGAATATAGAGGTAACATTCACTGATGCAATAAAATGTGCCATTCTCCTTGCTCTGGTGGCATCATCCACATCCGCCTCGCTTTGGGACCGGTTCAGGTGTCAGCAGATTCCTGAGTGGACCAACTCCCTGGGGAACATTCCTTCCCAAACGCTGGAAGAACATGGCTACTTATACTTTTATTTATTTACTTTTTCTTTTATTGTTTGATATTGTGATCAAATGTAAGTGAGCCATTTAGATACATTAATACTTTGGATCCCTGTGAGCTGGAGTGCCAAACTTTGAACCGACAAAACACTCATGTAAGAGTTTGGTTCATTTAGTTTTTCACATACATGAATTCTCAGGCTCTGTCACATCTTTAGATCAGATTTTTCCGTAGAAAGAGTAGGAGTGGGCGATATACGTATATTGTAGACTATAATATTGCAAAAGTGAATTTGAAGATATGCTTTTTCGCATTATCGTCAATACAACCAAAAAAATGTATGATTAATAAAAAAGGCCCATTCGTCAAAAGCGTGCCTAAAAAGCCAAACACTGCTGTATTTGTACATTTCAGTAAATATTGAGCCCTTTTTGGATGTGTTCTTGAATTAGATTTTTTATGTCAATATATGTTTGTGCATGTTTTGCAAAGATTTTATTATGTGAAAAAAATGATTGATTTTAAAGATATTGTGACAATATCGGAAGTTGGGAAAAAATATTGAGATATTTATTTTTGCCCATATCGCCCACCCCTAAAAGAGAGAACCCACCCTCAGCCAATCAGCTCTCAGTACAATAAGATAACATATTTTCTATCAAAATAAAAAAATAAGCATATTATCGTCTGAATTGTTCACAAGACCCTTTATCATCCAGCTACACTTCAAGAAAGAAATGCCAAACAATAAGCATGTGACAAATGAAAAACATCACAAAATACAGTTTAGAAACTACAAAATACATTTACATTCATCCTATATTTATATCAAGAAAAATCAAAAAAATTAAACAAAAAATACTTAAACTCATCCCTTATGAACTTCTGAAGACAGTTTCAGAGGCTGGCAATGCAAGGCTCTGTAAAAAAAATTGCATTTTAAAAAGTTATCGCGCACCCTCAGACGCCTGTCTCGTGGCACACCTAGAAATCATTTTAAAACTAACTATATGCAAACTGTGGGGTTTACATATAGGGTTTTCTGTAGGGTAGAAAAGTAGAGCCATCTTGAACTTTGAGCATTAGGCATTGTGCTTATACTTGTTCTAAATGAGAGGTTGAATGCCACTCCGACAGCTTTATTTTGTCTATTAATATTTATTATTTCTTTTGGCTGTTATCCCAAAATCTGCTCATACTGATTAAACAAAGTTATGCCAGTCAATAAATATTGGTATAGCGAAACGATAAGGACTATAGCAAAAAACAAGTGATGTTCAGTAATACTTACAATTTCATGTTCTTATTTGTATTCATGAAATGACTTAAATGACCCTATTAAAAAAAAAAGAAAAAAAAAGACAAGTTTTCAAACAACTTTTAAAAAAACGTGCTCCTCCACACCGACCGCAGAATCAACAGGGACCAAACTAATCCCTTGTTTACAATACAATTAAAATGGCTGACTGGACTAATCTGGTCTATCTTTAATGCACAAAGGCAAAAGGAGGAAAGATAAGAAATCCACAGTCAGCTTTTCCAACAAAGCTAAAAACCATGGGGATTCTTCATTTAAATATGACTTTGAATTCACAATCTCTCGTATGTGACAAGAGCCTGAATGTTGACGTTGTCCCCGGAGCAGGAGCAACAGCAGCAGCAGCAACAGCAGCAGCAGCAACAGCAGCAGCAGCAGCAACAGAGGCTGATGTGGCGACTGCTGTGGACAGGACCGTGTGGAGGGCAGCTTGGATTACTTCACTTAAAAATAACACCTTTGAGATTTGCCCTCGGCTTTAAGGCAAGATGATGAGAGCTGCAAGCCACAACATGCACAGAGCTGAGCCAATGTCACTGTACGAAGACGACAGTCAGACCTGGCAACCTGGCCTCGCAAAACTGAGTAAAATACATCAATTATGGCCATTGATTGTAACTTGGGGTTATTAAAGCGGTTCTGTTGGATGACCATCACCGGCATGACTCTGTAGGGAACTTGTTATCTGCAGAGACAGATATGTTCCAGGCCTGTGGATAGTAAGGAGTGTTTTACATTTTTCAAAGCAGGTAAAGCAACCAAAACAGGAAGGAAATACTATACCCAGTCTGAAATTGTAATGTTTAGCCACATTAAACAATCTGCAGTTTTCCAGTTCGGCAAAAAACAAATATGAAGAACATGTTTTCTGATTGTTTTTATGGTTTTGCCGAAAACTAGACTAAAGCAAGTTTTAAGTTTTATTGAGCCAAAAAAGATTTGTGTATTAAATAAAACATGTGCCCTTATTGTATAGGCCAGTGCTTCCCAACCAGGGGTGCACAGCACTTGAAATGTATTACAGGCGTAACTTAATAATTAGAATATTGTTCATAATTGTCCTGCATGTGAAATCCAGATCCCAGCAGACCTCAGAAGCTAAGCAGGGTAGAACCTGATAGTTCTATGAGCCACAGTGGGCCGGCTCTGGCTGAAAAGTGCCAAACTGCCGTTGTGTGCTACAACAACAGTTACTGTACACTACATACATACATGGCTTAGTATGAGTCTGGTGTGTGTCAGAAAGGTTGGTGGTGTTTATGGCTCCCACTGGTTGCCTCGCTTCTGTCAGTTTGCCCCATGGCAGCTGTAGCTACAGTAGTAGTTTACCAGAGCACCCTACTTGCCGAGTCCACTTAGCGACTTTTTAGCGATTTTCTAATTTTCATTGACATCATGCGCTTAAGAAAACAACCATATGTATTATATTCTAAACATTGAAGCCTTCCATTATTTTTGGTCCAGATTTGGTTACGCCAAAGCAAGTAACTCATTTCGTTCAGAAAATCTAAAACTCATGTTCTATCAATGTAATGCTTTGGTCATAATACCAACATGAAAAACACAAATAATGACATTGAAATAAAGTAATCAGATGGAAAACATTGTACAAAAACAGGGTGTGAACCTGACTGGGTTTGTTTACTCTGAAAATACATATTTAACGCAAAAAGGGGAAAATTTAAATAAATGTTGGGCAAGCAATACTTTGGTTGCTGCACTTACTGCCATCGTTCCATTCAGATGCACTCCACTATCGAAGAGCGGGGACGAGACCCGGCTGCTATAATCACTGGACGGCCCTGGAGAACCTGCAGCAAAGGCAAGGCAAGGTTATTTGTATAGCACAATTCATACACAAGGCAACTCAAAATGCAGATCAAAATACGATACAAGAAACAGTCACACAAGGCAATAAAATCAAAGTTGTTTTTAACCTGTACTTTGAACATTGTCATTGACTGTCCCACATTTTCAAGAAGACTGTTCCAGATTTTAGATAAATTAATTTGAGATGAAGCCTCCCCATGTTTAGTTCTGACTCTGGGCACCAATAGGAAATATTCAATCCATTACAAAAAGAAATACACATACCGCATCTTAAAAAAACAGTCTGAATGCGTGGTCAAAAGGCATGTGAGCTACAATACAGTCTGTGTAGTTTTGTTATTCTGAATGTAAGGTCATGATTGAGGTTGGAAGTAGCCCGCAGTGGGGATCAGCCTGTCCAAGGGAGAACGCTGGGTTTTGATATGATAGCAGCCCGACGGTGGCTCTGGTCACACTCTGCTGAGATGTGACAGAGAGAGCGCTGCTGGCTGCTGCCTCCACGCCGCTCTGTGCCACCGGGAAAACAAAGGATTCAACCTGCACCAGTTTCTTCTCATGCAAAACAGTCGCCTCCAGCAAAACTACAGCCTGGCCGTGAGTTTATGTGAATGGTGCCGTTTATATTGTAGTATTAGTAGAAGTAGTAATAGCAGTTGATCTATATGTATTCCAGACTCAAGGTCCATATGAAAATTAAACAAAAAATCGTTCGTCTAAAAAACTGGGAAGGACCATTACGCGCCACAGTGTAGTTGGTAACAAAAGAAAACAAAAAAAAGACATTAAATAGCATATTTAAAATGGAAAGTTTATGTTTTATTAAATTATTAATTATGATTTATTAAACTTATTTTGCTGGGAATGCTCCAATCTTAGTTCAAACCAAACGTATGCCTGTCCTGTTCCATATTTTGTTGAATTAACCCTTTAAGCAATGTTATTTTGCTTTCATTTGGATTTTCTAAGATGTAAGACCACTAATAACACAATTATTATTATTATTATTATTATTATTACTAATATTATGTTGGTGTTTTTTTTAGCTGCTATTTTTTTATCCTATAGGCTTGTTTATTTAAGTTTCTCTCAAGTTCCAGTGCTTTTACCAAATGGTTGAGATGCAGTTTGATGGTAAAAGTGCCTAAAACAAAGTGAAATGCCCCAAAGACGTACATTTCAGTTCCAAGTCCAGTTCAAGTAAAGTATATATTGACTAAAAAGGCGATCTACAAAATGGCTGAGGAAACCGTTAACGTAATAAAAGTGTATAAAGTATAAAGGATTGAATTGGGACAATCTGAATACATAAAAAAAAATGTCCACACAAATCACCTTTTGCTCCAGTGAAGGAAAAGTGACCCAAACAGGGATGGGAGGAAGAAAACAGACTTTGGTTTTATGTCAGAGCGTCCCGGCAGCGGAACATGTGCCTGAAGCCATCAGAGAATCTCCCTCTTTACTTTCTTATAAACAGAATACAAAGAAGTGACTTGCCCAATCTGTCATGGTGTGGGCTTTTTAACTATTTTAACTTGGTTTTATTTTGCTATAATTGTTCATTTGTAGTTTTGAGTTTGCTTCTTTTGTCTCTTGTCTGTGTCTTGTTTTTCAGTTCTGGAATTTGGTGCTTTTTGTTACTCTGGATTTTGACTTTTATTAAGTAAGTAGCAATATGTAAGATTCCCCGCCCTCCCCCGTTTGTACCACCCTTCACCGTTTCACCAATCAGAGAGTCTGTGATCCGGGTTGCCAGAACTCACAAAGTCGAGCTAATCTAACTCGTAAAGTACCATGTGGCGCAGAACCAAAAAAGGTCTTGTCATGATTCTAAAAACAATAACGACAAAATAATGAATAAAACAAGGATTTCTGTCTTTGTGAATAAAGTGTTGTTTATAGATATGTTGTTGACAAAACTCTTGTCTATTCAGATATGATGTTCCTAACTGGAAGTGTCTGCATATCTGGCAACCTGAGTCAGTGAGAGTGGGAGAGGTTGCAGTACCACTTTGGGCCAGATTTTTACATATTGCTGCTTTATATTACATTTGATTTTCAGTCCTGCATTTTGGGTTCCTTTCTTCTACATTTCCCTACATGACAGAATGACAAAGTTTTGATCACTGAATGTAAATATTTGTATTTTCTGATCAATAATTTCTCTGTATTTTTTTTAAAATACAGAAATAGCTGTTTTTAGGCTGACATTAAAATGAAAATGATCATTGCTTCCATCATCAGCGTGTGGAGAGCATGGAAAAATATGTGAATTCTGAGTCATTGTACAGCACTTTGGGTGACCTTGGTCGGTAAAATGCTCTATAGCAAATACAGATTACACAAGAGAACAAATCCTCACAATTGATTGAGTACTTTTCTGCTTAATTCCATAGAAAAAGAAATTATAAAACAATTGTTGTTGCTTTACAAACAACAGCTTTTGCATTTTACTATTTGCCTGAGATTCATTTGTGGCTTCTATTCTTTTCTCTGGGAATATCGATAAAGCCCGATCAAAACAAGCCTTGTTAGGTTTTTAACATGAAAATATGCGTGTTTCTGTGCTAAACAAAACAACATGAATAAAAGCCAAACTTCTGATGAATACAAAATGATTGGCTACAAGTTTAATAATAAAAGCGTGGATGAGATTTGAAGTGTGGCGTCCGGGCTCCGCTGAGAAACGGTCTTCACGAGTAATGAGTTCTGCAAAGAAGACACTTTTCTCTCATTCAATTTACAAATCCTCCCAAAAACATAATTATTTTTATTTTCTCAAAAAAGTGAAAAACTAAACTTCTACAGGTCTGACTTTAATAATTTACCGCAGGAACGATCAATGAACTATTGGTAATCGTGACTAGTCTGCCAATTTATTTTTTTAACGCAAATTATTTTTCATTTTTCAAGAATATCTAAAAAGCACTCAAATTAAAAAAAACGCCACAAAATTTTAAAGCAACCGTAGTAATGACATTAGTTACATAAACAAAAAAACAGTCTTGTCACAATAAATATATATGTACGTGAACTAGTCAGCTAATTTAATGAATGTTTTATGTTTTAATTGGAATGGATGGTTAGATTTATTAGAGGGGCGACAGTAGCATTGGCCTTTGGGCCTGGAGGTCGTGGGTTCGAGCCCACTGTCGAACCTACTCCAACTGCTCCCACAAATGTCTACTGTTGTTGTGTCCTTGGGTAAGACACTTAACCCCACGTTGCCTGAAGCCCCCGCTGAAAAACCAAGGCTGTTTCACTGCTGACGGAGCAGCCATCTTCCTGTGGACTCACCACCTGCAGAGGATCAGCGAGGGACTGGTGCTATGAGCATCGGGTGGCAGCTCTCATTCACTAATAAAGGGGTTGAAAATGAACGAATGAATGAATGATTTATTACAGACTCGTCCAGAACAGATAATAAACAAGACACACCCACAAACTCCCCAGCGCCTCCTCAAGCTCCTGTTTCCTGATAGGGTTCCTGCTCTGGCTCCTGCCCTGGCTCTTGCCCTGGCTCCTGCCCTGGCTCCTGCCCTGGCTCCTGCCCTGGCTCCTGCCCTGGCTCTTGTCCTGGCTCTTGCCCTGGCTCTTGCCCTGGCTCCTGCCCTGGCTCTTGCCCTGGCTCCTGCCCTGGCTCCTGCCCTGGCTCCTGCCCTGGCTCCTGCCCTGGCTCTTGCCCTGGCTCTTGCCCTGGCTCTTGCCCTGGCTCTTGCCCTGGCTCTTGCCCTGGCTCCTGCTCTGGCTCCTGCTCTGGCTCCTGCCCTGGCTCCTGCCCTGGCTCCTGCCCTGGCTCCTGCCCTGGCTCCTGCCCTGGCTCTTGCCCTGGCTCTTGCCCTGGCTCCTGCCCTGGCTCCTGCCCTGGCTCCTGCTCTGGCTCCTGCCCTGGCTCCTGCCCCTTCTCCGCCTACACCCCATTCACACCATGCTTCAAGCCACCACCAGTGCTCGACCCAGGGGATCTGAGATAATATACAGCAGCAGATTATCTCCCCTCGGCAAGTGTCACTGCCAGGGTCAATGCACCAAACAAATACATCTTTTTCATGCATTAATGTTTCTGTCTTGGTCTCTTCAGATTGAATTTGTCTCTAGCTAAATAAACTCCAGCTTGTGAATTGCATCAGTAACCAGTGCCTAGGAGCTTCATGTGTCACAGACAGGAAGATTCTGGCAACAAAAGTGTGACAGTAATTGTAATACCTGAAACTTTACTACATCCTTTCCCTTTTAACGCACACGCTCACAGCTGCATTGGCGCCTACTTACTGAAAACGTCAATCTTTCTTTCCTTGACACAGCATATGCCATCTCCCTCTTTTCACCCTCCATTTTTTATCTTACCCACACATCCCCCATTGCTAACTTCTTAGTGTCTCTCCGCTCGGATAGTTCAAGGTTCTCTCCTTTCATCACTTTGAGCCGCTTTACTGTACGCCATGACCAAAGGCTGTGGGTGTTTGTGACATTACAGCTCGCGCCGGCCCAGTGAACGGCACAATCTATAACCGCAAAAATAAACTAAACGCGTTAAGTCTAGCTCCAGAAATCCCATAAAAAGGCGGCATATTCTTTTAGTGCGGCGTAAAAATGGCGCTTTCATAGTGGTTTCACGCGGTTATAAAAGCGTGGTGATGGTACCTAGAGGCAGTTTGAGGAACGATGGCACTTCTCGAAGGTAGCGCACGGTGATGGTGACCTCGTCTCCAGCCGTACGCAGGAGATGTACCTGGGGAGGGAGAAGAGGAGATGGAGTGATAAAACTGTAATGTTATAAAAAGTGAAAAATTGAACAAGATAGGAGGAAGAGAGGAGAGCTTTTACAGACTTTAAAAGGGGGTTATAAATGATGATATATTTCTATGCTTTACCAACGGCTGTATCTCACACAAGAGAGAGGGACAAGGGCCGGTATAAAGACATAAACGCCTATGACAGCTACAGGGGTAAGTTCTCAACCTATACTCCACGCTAAACCGCACAATGTGTCAAATCTTACTTCAAGGAGTAATAAATTACATAGGATAATCTCAGATGAGATCAAAACCTTTTCAAGAGAAATGGATGCCGTTCAAAAAATGTTATTGAAATTTAGGAACACAATTGTTACATACAGGACATGTGTTGGAGGCTTTGTGGATGGAATAAAAAACAGGACAGGGAAGACTGCTTCATGGCTAATGGTTGGAGAAATATCAATCTGTAATTATAGATTATATTGTGTATTATAACTTGTATCCAGAGCTAAAATAATTATTAAGAGGAAGTCTATTAAGTTACGGAATTGAATTACAGAAGAAAGGGGTGGGATTATTTTTGAACATCCTACATGGTTCTCTAGATCAGTGGTTCCCAAAGTGGGGGTACCGACCCCCCGGGGGTCGCGGGAACCCCTGGGGGGGTCGCAACATGATTTCCAAAAAAAAATAAAAATATGAAAAAAAATATGTTTAGCAAATTAATAGCCCTTCAATATTTATTTTGCATTTGATTTTACTCAAAAGGATTACTTGTTAAATTGTGTTAGGAGAATATAATATATTTTAATTACGTTAATTACGTTGTCCCAGTCATTGACAGCGTCAATCAAAATTAAGTTACGCAGCTCACATCATGCAGCGACAAAGCGTGTCCTGCTGCTGTTTGCTAAAACTGAGGCCCTGTTTATACTGAGACGCTGCGCAGACGTTTCCAGGCTATTAACAGAAACGACCTGGCTCCTAATGCAAATTTCTCTGCGTTCACATGAGGTTGAAAAACGATGTAGTTCTAGCGCCCGGCCAGTAGTGGGCAGAGAAACTTTACAACACGACACACGACCCCCAGCCCCCCTCTCGGCAGTGTACTCACTTCCTGTGCCAGACCCTCGGAACGCACCAACATGATTCTGCATTTTAACAGCAGCTGTGAAAATGGAAACTGAACCTAGAGCTTCGCGTGGTCTCGTTTGGACGAACGAAGGAGTCGAATCATCCTCTGTGCCGCGCTGGAAGCCCACGTAGCTAGTTAGTGTGACCGCCACCATTGTTGTTGATGGTTGTTCTCCGCTACTGCGCATGTCCAAATTTACGTGCGGGGAGCAGCGCGGAGGTGGGGGTCAGAGCAGAGGGGGATTTCACACCTTTTCCCTCTCGCGGGTGTGAAGGAGAGCCCCCGCTGTGCAGCGTTTCTGAGTTGTCCCACTCTGCAGGCTGGATCTGAACACTTACGTTTTCACCCCCCTGGAACACAGTCTTCGTATGAACGGTTGGTAGAAACCGACATCCAACTATAGCGTTTTACTGCCACATTGTCTCCGTGTAAACTCAGCCTAAAGGTGTTTGGAGGATACAAACAAATAATACCTGCTTTGAAATGAAACGTGGTTAATATCCACAACAGAAAAACCCGGAGGGGGAGAACAGTCAAGGGTCAGGCTGATGGTGCGAAGAGAGGGCAGTGGAGGGAGAGAGGGCAGTGGAGGGAGAGAAGGCAGTGGAGGGAGAGAAGGCAGCGGTAGAACAGCGCGGTAAAGAGGCCCGGCTTTTCGGAGTCAGTGGTAATGAGGTCCGCACATTAAAAGCGGCCACCCGCTTTTAATGTGCGGACCTCATTACCACTGACTCCGAAAAGCCGGGCCTCTTTACCGCGGTACGAGAACAGTGAGGGCAAGCCGCAAGAAATGCGCTCCACTTCTGCTAAGAAGGGAGCCCACCAAGCCCATCACTGTGTCACTACGTGAGTAAAAATACGCAAGCCTCCTTTTTTGGGCTGGACAGTGCAGCTCAGTAGTGGCGCGAGTCTCTGCGTTACTCCGTATCAAGGAAATACATGCTCATTGACGGGAAGGACTGTTGAGGTGGGGGGTCGCGGGGGAGCAGCGCATTTATGATGGGGGTCGCGGGCTAAAAACTTTGGGAACCCCTGCTCTAGATCATGTAGCTGCAAAGTGGAACCCCCTCGAGTAAAATTCCCAATAAGAGAAACACTAGCTACCTGCTAACTACTATACACAGCAGAGGGATTTCAACCGTGCCGTTATATTGCAAAATATTCTTAAAGTGTATTTTTTACTCCAATCTAGCATTGAGCTCATATATTGTAATCTACGGTACTACGGTAACTGTCGTAGGACAATATGTCGTCTTAGACAGTGGTCCCCAACTCATGGTCAAACTCCTTTTTGTCCCTTATCAACCACTGTGTTTCAAGATGGTGCATTGACATTGAGAGTCTTCCAGCTCTCATGGACATTTATAAGTCAACAATTCAAAAACATGGTGGATGTAAATATTCTTAAAAAGGTCACATTTGTTATATGTTTTGTCATTTGTCAATTGTAAAAATTACACAGAGTACTTTTACTTTTTAATGTTGAATGAACATATTTTCTAAATAATGTAGATCTTGTGAAGCTCTGGACACTTTTAATAATACATCATTTTTGAGATTCCTAATTGGTATTTTGTTAGAGGAATTTTAGTTCAGGGACAGGGGATACCAGTTTGCAGCACCATCTGGTCAATAGTGCTTTGTGTTATTTTTTTAATGTTCTTTATACATTTAATGAGGCTTCCTTTTCTCTTGTGATATTGTTGTCGTTGAATAAACTCTTGCAGTGACGTTTTTAACAGCTCATAGACACTTAATTTTTGTTTTGTCGACAGAACAAAAGCAGCCCAAGACTATGATAGATACACTTCTGAATACTTAATCCATATTGCTCTGTGCTAGAACTAACATGTCCCCACTTAAACGGGCAATTATAATTCACTCAACACCCATATTCTGTCATATCTGCTTTGTAAATCTTCAAGGTGATCTTTTATAATCCAAAATCCCTGCTACTGCCATCTTTGCAGCATTGCTCTTCCCCATCTGTCGACTTTCGGAGTAGGGGACACTCTGCCTGCACAGCCCAGTTAGTGAGGAGAAAGTGCTTATTGTGTGCGTTTTAATGCCGCGGAGAAGCAGAGAAGACACCGAACAGCTTGTCTGGTGTCGAGACGAGGAAACACGGCCGAACGCTCAGACAGACAAACTCACCTGAAGGAAGAGAGAGACTTTTCGGAAGTGGATCAAAATATTACGAGACATAAATCCACTGCCGCTTATATGCATGACTCACAAAAGAGAGATCGGCTTCTCTTGAGTCTATATTATGGATGAGGGACAGGGTTGTAAGTATTGTAAGTATTGTAAGAAGATTGTTTGAATCAATTACTTCTTCATACATGCATGCATGCAACTAGTCGAACAAAGGCATGTGTGGATGTTAATTTCTGAGTAGATTTTGCTTGTCCTGCACATGTTTAGGACTGGGTATCTTTCCAACGTATATATTTCCTATGTGTCGAGATACGGGCGACTTTCAATTCTATACAATTCCATACCCGGCTTCTCATCTTTCTTTTTTCTTAGAAGCCTCAGAAAGTACTGGCGAGTTTTTTTTTTGTCAAACAGTGGGTAAATTTAACGCAAGAATACAACATTTGAAATATGAAGAAATACTCTCGCACACACACAAACATATGTATTGATAATGTAATGATTCTTGTTTAATCGATAAAAGAAACTGAAAGTAAAAAGTGAATGAGGTGAATGACATTTTGCAAGTGGATAGAAATATTGGGAGCCTTAAATCCCCTGCCGCTTGTATTCATGACTCACAAAAGAGAAATGGGCTTCTGTTGAGTCTATAATATGGATGTGTTGATTGTGGGCCCAGTCGGTGAGAGCGTAAACAGTAGCTGACCCTCCGATTGTGGGACGCTCCATTGTTTTGCATGACTTTGATGTATCGCCAAAAACATGAATGCCTCCACGCAATTTTCATTGTGTGCCACCGTCTCCGTTTTGTCTGCTTTTTATGTAAATGTATTTGATCAATGAGCAGACGGAGGGGTGGGGAAGTAACTTGATAAAAGTTTCACAATGTAAAGAAACCCCAGTGTTGTCAGTGACTTCAAGAAGGAACTTTTGCATCCTTGCTGTGTCGAGATATGTCGTCTCCAGATCGGAAAGAAGCAGCTGAACAACAGAATATTAAGACATATATATCATACTGCTATAGTTCTATTTTCTTTATTCAAGTCATCTGCAACTACATCACTGTAAATGCAACTGAATTTTAGAATTCAGTTCTACAGACAAAGCATGTGTGAACATGAAAAAGATTAAGTAAATATTGAGACCTAAAACTGACTTAAAGCTGAAGTACCTAACTTTTTGTTTCATAAATAACACATGCTTGGTAAACAGTAAGAGTCTTCTAAAAGTAATGCTGTCTTATTATATTAGTAGACAGCTCTGAATGGCTATTTGATACTATGTACTGAGAGCTGATTGGCTGAGTGAGTTCTCCTGTGCATTTATGTGAGAACTAGTGGTAGAACCAACTTTGAACCTTGTGCTATTCTCGGGTCAAGTTGACCCACCAGTGATTAAAAATACCCTAATAAACAAAAAAAATCTATAACCTGACAAGCCCTGGATCATTAAGACCCTTTTAGACCCTAATTTCTAATTTTCTTCTACTTTTAATCACTGCGGCTTTGGGAAGCACAAGGGTTAAAAGCAGGAAGTGAGCGTGTCAGTCGGATACAGAGGCCGTTCCTCTGTCTGGCAACAGCCGCTGTTTCTCTTTGGTCTTAGGAACCACTCAGAGCCTGATCTACAGATCTTAGCAAGAGAGAGGGAGTGGGGCCCAAGCAGATCGGTGAAAAGGAAATAAAAGACCTCTAAAAAGTAATCCCAAAGTGCACACACTATGGTGCACACAGAGCCAGTGAAGAAAACAAAGGATTTGGCATATGTGGTCAGATTTAGACAAACTTGTTGAAAACTGAGGCTGCATGAGTAGTTCCCACATTCTCTTTTAAAAGATTATTGTTTTTCACAAATAAAGACAGTTTGTACAGAAAAAGAAACAATCTCAACCCAGAAATGGACAAACGGTTAGACAATGAATGGATGGATGGTATTTAGAAAGTGTTGCGTTGAGATTGCACCAGTTAGTTTAAGAAACCTAAAAAAAGATACACAGTGGTTCTGGAATCAAATCCCAAACTAAACACAATTTTCTGAGTGGGGTTTGCGTGTTCTCCCTTCCCCTGCCACTACAAACATGTACAATAATCCCCTTTCCCCACCTTTGGGACCATGTTGGTTAAATACCAGTCAAAAAAATCAATGGAATGAGAGTGAATCCTGTGTTTTGTGATAAGTCAACCTGTCATATACACACATTCAGTGCCCCACTACACAGTTTATTGTTGCTACACTCATGTTTATTCATTATATAAATCCTACAACATTCCCTCTGGGTAATACAATAAAAAGTATTGTTTTCAAATGTTTAAAAAATGAATGAGACTCACCACTTCTTCGTGAGTGCAGTGCTCCACATTAATGCCATTGACCTAAACACAAACAAAGAGAGAGAGTCACTAACAATATTATAGCAGTGAATATTCGAAACCACAGCCCCCTCTGGCAGTGTTGTGATGAAAATGTAAATATATGCAATCTATGAAAAAAAAGTAAACATAAATCTGTAATGAACTAAAGGTGGAGGAAACGCAATTCAGATTATAATAAGCTCAATATGAATGTTTAATATTGCTCAGCCGTCCAGTGGATCTACTTGATATTCCAGATAAACAGAAGATCCAATAAAGCCAGCCTCCTCCTGCCAGACGCAAATTAACTTTTTACATTCAGTTTAAATGAGTTCCATCCTTAAATAAGACTTTTTGAGAGGACGACACTCCACAATCGAAAGCGATCTTTAGCAGTTTCCTGAATGTGAATTAGACCAACACAATTAACGCAATGAGCGATAGTACGTGGGAATATGTGAAACAATAATATTCTTGTCAACCAAAGTAATGATCTAATTTCCGCCATGAAATTACAATAGAGGCAAAAAGCAGAAAATTGATATGACTGAAGCCAGTTTGAAATGAGAGGACTGACCTGTAGGACTGCGTCGCCCACAAACAGCATCCCAGTCTGATCGGCTGCGGACAGAGGTTAATGAAACATGGTCAAATAATGAGAAAAGAGGAAACGGCAATCAGTGCTTCTGTCAGAACATCAGTAAAATCAGTCACAACGCAAGAACATCTCGTGACATCTCATTTACAACCAGACATGATCGTATTTAAAGGGCATTGTTTGATCTATATTATCTCGTCATACGTGGCGCAAAAACACGAGAACTGGTGGAACAAAGTCAGACATGTACATTTTAAATGTTGAGTAGGTGACTGAGTGGATAGCACTCTCGCTTCTCAGCAAGAAGGTCCTGGGTTTCGAATTCCGGTCGGAACAGGGCTTTTCTGGGTGGAGTTTGCATGTTCTCCCCGTGTCTGCGTAGCTTTCCTCCGGGTGCTCCAGTTTCCACTACCACTAAAAACACGCACAATAGGTCTGAATGTGAATGAGAGAGTGAATGGATGGTGTTGATTGGGGGCTGATGGTCCAGTGTGTTCTGGACTCGCTTCCGTCTTCACCGCGTGTGGAATGATTGGAACAATATCTGACTCTGAACATTGTAAAGTGCTTTGGGTGACCTTGGTCTGTAAAATGCGCTATATAAATAAACATTACTTACTTACTTACTATCAGGGCTGGGGATCTTTCTGACACCATTGTAATTTTTCCCGTGCTTACAGCTGAAGGATTTTATCTCTACTCTTTTAAATGCACTTTTGTTGTGTAGTATTCTGATTATAGTGTGATTTTAATGTTTTAATGTTTTTAATTACCTGTGTGTTTTAATGGTGATTTTGGTGTTTGTTTCATGTGATGATTTGTGCTTTGTGTGGTGCGGAATGTGAAGCACTATAAATACAAAATGGATTGATTGATTGTAATGCATGACATGGCACCATTTCAAGACTTAACTTTCAATTGGATGTGGTGTATTTACTTGTGGACACTGGATCTAAGGCTCTGCTCCCATTATCAAAACAATATCATACAACTGATGCATTTATTTAAGATTATTGGTTATTGAAGTCCCAATATATTGGGACTTGCTCTTTAGTCTGTCGGTGCACACAGAGTACCTTTTTTGCAAATGTATTCCAATGTAGTTTTTATACTGCAAATGGCTAATAAAATGAATCTGAATCTGAATCTATTGAAAAAAAAAAAAAAAAAAAACTGTTGAAAATCAATGACTCTTCTGGTCACCCTGGAAAAGGCATGTTCCAGCTTCTTCTCTTAGATATCGTTCACTGAGATTCAGGACCGTTATCAAAAGTTAATGATCTTTCACTTATTTAATCCTATTTAAACTGTTTTTGTTATTGGTTTTTAGCTTCTTTTCTAATATTTACTTTTCTGGTGAACACTGCATAATTTTTGCACATGTATTCCAAGGTGGTTTTACTGCAAATGGCAAATAAAAATAATCAGAATCTAATAGATAAAAACAAATATATGTTTAGATACATATTTTTAGCGCACCCCTACCATGTGTTAATGATTTTGTACTCTATAATGTCGGTCTTATCATTCTTCTTTTTGAACTTAGACCTGATCAGATTACGTTAGAAAATATAGACATACAAAAGGCGATGTAACTCAAACAGGCAAATTTCAGAGAAAAAATTGTACATTGACTATTTGTTCTGATGTACTAAAGTATTAGCGAAAAATTATTTGAATCCTCTAAGTACTTTTAGTTACATGTTACTATATAGAATATTCTCATGTATACACCACACAAAAACTGCAGCATAAGTCATTTGGATCTGTTTTGATGAAAATAATCTCAGTCTTCACACGACTGATTCAAAAATCCGGTCCTAATTCCGCTTTATCACGGCTTTAATAGATTTGTCCCAGGTTAGTGTTTGGTGTCGTATAGTCCAAAATTTGCACTTGTCACTTATCTTTTTTCTTCTTACATTTCTACTTATTTTTCTATTTTCATGTAAATGTTTTGGTAATTAACACTGATCTTCTTTTTTGGAGGTACAATAGCAGTAACTGGGATGTTCCCTTCATCATACACACACACACACATATCCTCATGTAAACGGGCGCCACCATATCTCTCCCCTCAGTCCTCTCCTCTCACTGCCGACAACTAACCCCGACCCTGGGTTTAACATACTTTTTTATGGGTATTTTTATGGATTCACCCACCAAGAATGGTCATTTTAGCTTTAAAACCCTTGCAACTTTGTCTGCAGCAGAGGTGTGTGTATATTTCACTGAGGCTGTGTGAATCCTTTCTTCTATAACATTGTTTTTTGCTCAATCTAAAAATTTAATACAAACCATATTTTTTTTAAAGAGCCATCAATTATTACTATAGAGAACAGAATCGGGTTATATCCTCTTTAAAGATAAAAACATGTGTGCCATAACCTCAAGTGAAACTACTAGTATTAGTACTGAAAATAATAATAATAATAATAATAATGCATTGGTTTTATACAGCAATTTTTGGACACTCAAAGAGGCTTCACATGTCATTATTATTTCACTTCATACACAATGGTGATAAACTCAAGTTGTAGCCACAGCTGCCGTGGGGCATCGTGACAGAAGTGCAGCAACCACTATGTGCCATCAGCCCCTACAGCCACCACTAGCCATTAACACACACACACTCATTCTAATGTGGATGAAGTGTCTTGCCTAAGGACAGTTTGGCACTTTACAGCCGCAGCCGCCCCACTGTGGCATCTGGTGTTCCCAGAGGTCTCCCATCACAGTACTAACCAGTCCCTGCCCTGCAGAACTTCAGAGGTCTAGCATGATCTGGTTTTTGCATGCAGATATGGCCACAGCAGTATATTTCTATGAGCCGCACACACGCCGCGGTTAATTCACAAGGCAGTTCACATCCAAAGGGTAATATAAGGCCATCGCTTCCACTTATTGCATAAACAAGGCTAAGAGCAGAGAAATCAATTGCACAAATCCAATCAACGTCAAAATCCCAGATGTTAACGGGATATGAGTTTACACACTGTATTTCACCTTCTATTAATGCTCCCTGCCACTGTCAGGAGAAATCAATAGAAGACGGTCTACCAACTTGGACTGCAGAGGAGAGCAGGTTAACCCGGAGGAAAAGCAGTGTGTAGTAATTTATTATACTGCAGATACAACTGTAGAGCTAACCGGCTTCCTGATCACCATGATTTTTGTTCCTTCCTGCCCTAAAAAGATAATCTCCTTGATATTTATTTAAAGGAATATATATATTTATAGGAAAATATATGGATTAATGTGAAAAAGGTCGGTTTGAATCAACACAAAGGAGTTAAAGGATTTTGTAACTATGCCTTTGATTATACAAGGTACCTAAGTACAGAACATACAAAATGGCGTGGGTACTATCTCTTGTTGTATGCACAGCTAAACAGAACTTGCATTTGGACATTCTCAAATTCAAACCCTGTCTCACATTTTCAGGAAGACTCTATCAGATGATAACTGCTTTAGCAAAAATCAGTCTTTGTAGGGGAGAACATGCAAACTCCACTCAGAAAGGCCCTGTTCCGACTGGAATTTCAACCCAGGACCTTCTTGCTGAGAAGCGAGATTGCTAACCACTCAGCCACCGCGCCACCCAATACTAATACTATACTGATGTTCATTTATGTGCATTGTCCCAATCAAATGAATGAATCAATAAATAAAGTACAGTTGGACCAAAGGAAACAGAGACTGCCAATTTATTTATTTAGCCTCCATAGAATAGTTTTTTATTTACTGCACACAAACAAACAATAATTCTTGTGGTTTAGTCCTGGTGTAAATAAAAATCTACATCAGAACAGGGGAATCAGGGATATCAAGGGAATCGAACGTGCAACCATTTTAGTGGCACCTGAAACTTGATGGTAGGAGATTGATTTGGGCTGCGATGGCATGTCATACCTCATTTTCAAACAATTTACAAGTTATTCCAAAATATTCATGTGAAAATGCAATTAGTAAAATAATTGGTTTGAAGTCTCTATCGACAAGTTTCGACTTAGTTTGAATTTTTATTTTAAAAACTACAAAAAGAGAATGTTCAAACTCATGTTAAAAAATTAATTCTCAAACTTTCCACTAACAAGCGATGGAGACCTTGGGATAGATTCAGCCCGGCCAAAAAGAGTTTAGAAAGCTATTAAACAAAACATGTTCACATGATTTAGTTTCAATGCCATCCATCCATCCATCCATTTTCTTCCGCTTTATCCGTTGCCGGGTCGCGGGGGCAGCAGTCTAAGCAGAGACGCCCAGACTTCCCTATCCACACACACTTCCTCCAGCTCGTCCGGGGGGACCCCAAGGCGTTCCCAGGCCAGCTGAGAGACATAGTCCCTCCAGTGTGTCCTAGGTCTTCCGCGGGGCCTCCTCCCGGTGGGACGTGCCCGGAACACCTCCCCGGGGAGGCGTCCAGGAGGCATCCGGAACAGATGCCCGAGCCACCTCAACTGGTTCCTCCCGACGTGGAGAAGCAGCGGCTCTACTCCGAGCTCCTCCCGTGTGACTGAGCTCCTCACCCTATCTCTAAGGGAGCGCCCAGCCACTCTGCGGAGGAAGCTCATTTCAACCGCTTGTATCCGCGATCTCGTTCTTTCGGTCATTACCCAAAGCTCATGACCATAGGTGAGGGAGGGTACGAAGATTGACCGGTAAATCGAGAGCTTTGCCTTTCGGCTCAGCTCCCTCTTTACCACAACGGTCCGATACAGCGACCGCATCACTGCGCACGCTGCACCGATCCGCCTGTCAATCTCACGCTCCATTCTTCCCTCACTTGTGAACAAGACCCCGAGATACTTGAACTCCTCCATGTTGGTATTGGAGGAACGGTCCTAAAATGGTTCAGATCATATCTCGAAAATCGCTCCTTCTCTGTCCACCTGGGACCTTACAGCTCAGATGCGGCCCCACTGAGCTGCGGAGTGCCACAGGGCTCAGTTTTAGGTCCTTTATTGTTCTCACTGTACCTGTTGCCCCTTGGATCTATTTTCAAAAAA